TAAATCACACATGATTATTTTGCTCCTAAACTCTAGTTTATTAATAAATAGTTGATTTTGTTCACAAAAGTATGAGTTTTCTGTTATATGTGGAAAAGTGGAGGACGAAAGGTTTTCAAAATTCATTAAAATAGGGCTAATTTACGCCATTCGCCTATTTTCAAGCACAGTAACACGTATATTTATTTCACCTAAAATACCAATTGATTCGTGTTTTATGATGCTCCTAGCCCATTAACAATATATATATGATATCAGAGTTATTCGTCTAAAATGTTTTGAGATATAGAGGTAAATGTGGAGGACGAAAGGATTTTCATGTGTGTACATTTTTCTCAAAAACGTCACATTCTATCATGTTAAAAGCGAGGATCCTCTGGATTACGCCACAAAATGTGTAACAATGCGTGCGCGAGGTTTTTGCGACACGTCATTAAATATTAGCTATTAATACATTCATTCATTTTGAACATATTTGCAATTGAAAGTTTGAACATATTTGCATTGAAAGTTTTAGAAAAACATTGTCAGAAAATTAAGGTATGACCTTTCAAATGATTATTGTTCTGAAAAGGGGCGTGGGACTTGTTGAAAATCTGTAATGTTGTTATATAGTCAATGTATCATCTGTAAAATACCCAGGGGTTCACCGAATACACAATTCTGTAGGGGTCTTAGGCTGAGCCCTCAGATATCATTATGTTCTTATACCAATCTGTCAAATTTCAATGTGTTCCCATACCAACCAAAATAATACCCAAAAGCCATACCAAATATCCAAATATAAGACCAATGCTACACCAAATGTCCAAATATAGGACTAATGCCATACCAAATATTCCAAAAGTATAAGACCAAGGGAATGCAAAATGTCTAAAACCCCTGGAAGAAGGCAGAACTTTTAGGAAAATGATCCAAAACAACCTCAAATTAAGGACATTTGTAAAAACTAGACCAATTCCATACCACAAGTGAGAGGTAACATATTCTCCATGATCCATGGCCATACCAAATGTTAAAAGAGGTACCCCCTGTCAAGGTTTATATACAATGAACCCCCGGGTGTAAAATATAGCTTTTGACTTTTGACCAGTGATGTCCCTCAGGGCCGTAGGGAGAGGGGGTTCGTAGGGCTCGTGCGAACCCCCCCCCCAAATCTTGCCTAAAAAAAATTCGAACCCACCCTTTCTGGCAATTATGCAAACCTCCAAACTTTGAGTAAAATTTTTGCAGTCTTTCAATAATTTATCGTTTTTGATTACCCAAAGACAATTGAGTTACACTCCCCTCCATAAGTTTGGCAACCTTTTTTCCCCATTGAACTATGTGTTAAAGCCTCTTTACGTTTGAATTTTTATTTACTTAACCGGCGATGAAAAAACTTATAATATTGATGGAAACGTAACTTGACTTTATTTCCAATACCTCTAAATTTTCTCAATTTTTTTCCTCAATTACAATAGGTCGGAAATTGATGATAAATTTGATGACTTTTTGAAAATCGTCATTCCCATGTAATCCAATGGGAAATGGAGGGTTCGGGGCAAATCAGAAATCAGGATATCTTTTCAGTAAAAGATTCAGCAAAAAATATTTTTATATAGAAAATTGAATTGTCTAACTTTTTTGAACACTAAGTGTTTAGTTTATTTGATGAATATTAAAGTTACAGCGCTTCAAAGTCATTTTTGAAAATAATTTTTCGCCTCCTGTGTTATTTCAATGGGAGAGGTTTTTTGAAAAACAATTTTGACTTTAAAGCCCTATAACTTTGTTGAACCTGAAAAAACATATCAATTTTTTGTTAAATAAAGTTAGCAAATTCAATTGCCTGCCTAACTTGTATTTTTTGCAAGGACTCGGATGGATGGATATTCTGTCATATGACTTGCGGCAAACCTACCATTTCCCATTGGTTAACATGGGAATGACGATTTTCAAAAATTCATCAAGTTTATCATCAATTTTCGACCTATTGTAATTGAGGAAAAAAATTGAGAAAATTTTGAGGTATTGGAATTAAAGTCAAATTACGTTTCAATCAATAGTATAAGTATTTTCATCGCAGGTTAAGTAAATAAAAATTCAAAGGTCAAGAGGCTTTAACACGTAGTTCAATGGGGAAAAAAGGTTGCCAAACTTATGGAGGGGAGTGTATATGTCAAGATGGAAATATGTGAGATTTATAGCTTCATTTTGAGTAAAAAGATTTTTAAAAAACAGAAAAACAAAAAAATTCTAATCAATAATGGGCGATAATAGGTATGCTCTTTGCACTTTAGGCCTGAAATACTGGGGGTCAACCCAGTTGTCCGAAACCCAGTTCTCCGAAACCCATTTTTCCGAAACCCAGTTGTCCGAAACCCAGTTCTCCGAAACCCAGTTTTCCGAAACCCAGTTCTCCGAAAATTAGGGGGATCTTATTTGAAAAATACAATTTTTTTAAACGAATCTCGTTGTCGCAACCTCTGCGAACCACAACATAACATTGGAATAACGTTGACATCATTGCAAAATTAGGCTAAATATGCTAAGTCAAGACGTTAATTGTTTATGTTTAGCCTACGAAAGTTCATATACAGGTGAAATAGATGTTCAAACAAACAAAGTTAAATTATGTTATTCCCATTGTAAAATTGCGTTTACACAACATACATAGGGGTCTACAATTTTTAAACCAATTTTCTTTATGGCCCATGAGCCTTTTTTGAGAGGGAACAACATTTTCCAATGGGTGATGGGCGTTCATGAAAGGAAAAATAGCTTTCCCGAGCCAGTGCGCATTTATTTAGTTAAGTTGACATGTACATATTTTGAAACCAAAACTTATTCTTCACTCACGTACTCTGTTCGAGAAATAGAGATTAAATTAAAAGGATGAAGTGAGTACATGGCGAAAATGAAACTTCTTGCGAATTGGAGAACATCCATTTTGATACTAGGACAGCCTGCCTTCGTTTCCAGTTGATCCCAAGTGATTAAGTTAAGAATGTTTTGTTCTTTTACGATTTGATAAAATACAGAGACTAAGAAATTAATGCGACGAAATATTTTGACAACGTAATATGTATACTGTTTTATTCTTAAAGTACTATATGCGTAAACTTATTTTATCTGTTTCAAAATGATTCATTTTATTTTGCCTATGTAAAAGAGATTGAAGAAGATAAGATAAACTGTTCCTTAATATGTATTGTATTTTGATAACCTTTTTTTAGAATCACAATGTAAAATAAACCCCCCGTTCCTGCCAGTCTGGTAACGCGTGCAATGGATGCAATTCAAAGTGAGTGAGAGAGATCTATGAACATCAGAAGGCGTCCAAGCCATTAATTTGGCCAAATACATGGCATGTAACTGGCCTAAGCTGAAGTACGTCCCCCCTTTCTCTAGTAAATTATGACTATATTTTTCGGAGTAATGGGTTTCGGACAATTGGGTTTCGGACAACTGGGTTTCGGACAACTGGGTTTCGGACAATTGGGTTTCGGACAACTGGGTTTCGGACAACTGGGGTGCACCCGAAATACTGAAGTAATATCTTCAAAATGAATTCAAATGCACAAACAAAGCATAACTACCAAGTTGAAATTATCTGATTGTTGTACATAACGTCAAAATGGTCTAATTTTTGATATAAATCTGCAGAGAATTTTGTTGTGACACTGGGCCGTGATGCACTAAAATTGTGAACGCTAGAAAATTCTTACTTACAACGTTCTTATTTTTTCATGCTGTAGTTAGATCAGAGAGCAAGTATAAAGATCACTCACACAGAGTTGTTTACTGATTTTTGGCTCCTATTTATTTATAAAGCTCATTGTACAAGCGATTTAAAATTGGGGGGAGGGGCAGGGGGTTCTATGTCTGCTAATTTCTGTGAATTTGTAGTATGTTGGGTCCAAATTTAAAAAAATCTGCCCAAATAAATGAACTTGGTCTTGGGATATTTCACCTATTTTTTGCTTTTGCAATTGTTTGAGATTTGGTAAACTTGAGAAAATTTGGTAAAATCTTAAATTTTAGCGAATGGGCAAAAATTATGAAAATTTGGCAACAATGAAACTTTGGCAAAATTTATCCATTATTGGCATTTAAGTAAAATTGGCAAAATTTAAGTAAAATTTTAGAAAACTTTGCAAAATTTAAGCAAATTTGGCAAAATTGAGGTAAATTGGCAAACATACAGCAACTTTGGCAGAATTTCAGCAAATTTGGCAAAATTCTAGCAAATTTGGCAAAATTTCATCAAATTTGGCAAAATTCAAGCAACTTTGGCAAGATTTAAGCAAATTTGGTAAAATTGAAACAAATTTGACAAAATTTAAGCAAATATGGCAAAATTTAAGCAAATTTGGCAAAATTTAAGCAAATTTGGCAAAACCTAAGCAAATTTGGCAAAACTTAAGCAAATTTGGCAAAATTTAAGCACATTTGGCAAATTTGGCAGAAAATATTAGAACCCCCCCCTGACAAATCCTGGCTACGCCACTGTCCCTTATTCCTAGCTTGTTAAGAAATTCTTGTTGGTCTGTTTGGCAGACATTTAAATTTCAGCCAAAGATATATAATCTGTATTGCTTTTGGACTAAGTACAGATACGAATGACCACATATCCCCATATCATTTTAGGATAGGGAATGAACTGAAATGGGTACCCACAGTATTTAGTTGTTAAAGCTATATAATTAACTCAATATGTATTAAGCCTCTACCTCAGTCCAATGTTTTATCCAAGACATCCAACTGGACTCACAACTGACCTCTTCCAGAAACTCAGTGCTGATGTCAAAACACAGTAGGACCATCATCTTCAATGAGGTCCCGGTACCTTTAGAAGACCGACTAAAATATCTCATCAGCTTAAAAATACAAGACCTATTTGATGAGGCTAAGACAAGAGGGTGGTATGCAGTTATGCACCCAATAGAAGTGGGATACAGAGCCCAGCCTCTTCACTAAGCTACCTCTTGTCCAAGTTAGAACGATTTCCAACCCAGATGCGAAGACAAGGAGTGGAGGAAACATCTGTGAAACACCATTGTGTTGGGCCAAGTAGAAGACAAAAGCTTCTCTTCAGCAGGAGAGATGAAGCCCGCAGTGTTAGTGGACGGCTTCATCACTGGCAAGTGAAAAAGATCAGAGAGCTCCAACAGATGCTTCTTAAGAGATTACTTCATCTTAGTCATCTAAAGATTCTTCTTCCAAAGATAGAAAAACTCAGGAAAAGAGAAGCGTAGGACCAGGAAGACATTCTTTGAAATCTCTATAGGGAACCAAAGAGTGCCCGTATGGCATGTACGCAGGATCAAGCAGAAGCAAATACTTTTATAATCAAACTTGTTCAAACACAAATCCCTTTCTGATGGTACATTATTCTCTTCAACAGAGTCCCTACTTCCAGCGGCATTTTGGTCCCCAGCTGTAAGAACGCTGCTAGAACGAGGGACTCTTTACAATAAAGTAATGCACCGACAGAAAGGCAATTTTGTTCTGCTATTAATGGTATAAGTTTGAAGAAGAACGATGCAGTATGAGACTCGCAATCCTTGATTTTCAATCATCCAGTAGGTCAAAAATTCAAATTAACAGTCGAAGTTAGGACCCCGTGATAATATCAGGTTTGAATTTTCGAATTTCTGGTATGACCTTGGACGACCCTTTTTTACATCTGTCCCTCTTTGATGATATTTATGGTTTTAAGGTATGGAACTAAGATGTTCAATATAATTTAGATGAATTTTGAGAAGGTTTTAGGATTAACAAGCTCAAAATTTGAAGAATTGCACAATATCAAGAATTGCACAATATCAGGTCTGAATTTACAAATTCTAGGTAAGACCTTCGATGAGCCTTATATTTTTTTACATCTGTCCCTCTTTGATGATATGTATGGTTTTGTAGTGTGGAACTAAGTTGTAAAAAATAATTCAGATGCATTTTAAGAAGATTTAAGGATTTTAACAATTTGAAGAATTGTACAATATCAGGTCTGCAATTAATAAATTTCAAGTATAACCTTGGTTGGCCCATATGTTTTTTCCACCTATCCCTTTTTCATGATATATTCGGTTAAGTAGTGTGGAAATGTGTTAAACATAATTTAGATGGGTTTTAAAGAAGCTTAACGTTTTAAACAAGTTCAAAATCTTGGCGTATTGTACAATATCAGATCTGAAATTAAGAATTTAAAGTATAACCTTGATTGGCCCGTATATTTTTAACATCTATCCCTTTTTGATGATATGGTTTAGTAGTGTGGAGCTAATATGTAAAACATAATTAAGATGGGTTTTGATGAGTTTAAGGTTTTGAACAAGTTCAAATATTGATGAATTGTACAATATCAGAGCTGATATTAATGAATTTTGGGTATTACCTTCTTGGACATCTATCCCTTTTAGATGACATATATGGTTTAGTAGTGTTGAACTAAGATGTTAAACATAATTTAGACAGGTTTTAAAGAAGTTCAAGGTTTTAAACAAGTTAAAAATTTGAAGAATTGTACAATAACAGGTCTGGAATTTATTAATTTTATGTATAACTGTGGATGGCCCTTATTCCTTTTTTACATCTATCCCTCTATGATGATATAATATATGGCTGGTAATATATAGTAGTGTGGAACTAAGAGGTAAAACATAATTTAGATGGGTTTTAAGGAGGTTTATGGTTTTAAACCTGTTCAAAACTTGACAAACTACAATATCATATCTGACATTAATGAATTTCAGGTATATATCTCTATGATAATATAAATGGTTTAGAAGTATGGAACTAAGATGTAAAACATTATTTAGATGGATTTTAAGGAAGTTTAAAGGCAGAATGAGATCTATGTGATGACAAAATTACAAGCAACATGTACAATTCACCTACCAATCTATTCCTTACAATCTCAAATACAATATCTCTAAAAAGATTCACGATGTGTTAAAAATTGATGAAGTTATAATGAATTCGAAGTGCAAAAATGGGTGAAAAATGTTTAAATTCATCCAAAATAATAAGAATGGTAGGCCTAACCATTTTTATGGAAAAATAATACATTAGTGTAGAAATCCTTAGTTTTCCTGAAATAAAGTGTGCACTTTGGGGATAATTAGCAAATAGTTTTTATTAATTTTTACTTATTGCTTATTGCTACTTCAGACTCGGGTTAAACTTCCTTAAAACCCCAAATTCCTAAATTATGTTTTACATTTTGGTAGTACAATACAGAACCATGTTAATCATCAAAGAGGTTTAGAATGAAAAGAACATGAGGATCATTCAAAGCTATATCTGAAATTTGTTAATTTCAGACCTGATATTGTACAATTTGTCAAGTTTTGAACCTCCTTTATTCCAGAATAGTGATATAATATCTGTACTAAATCTGGATGACAATAACATCCAGTCAGAGGGCGTGGGCTACATAGCAGATGTTCTCACAGCAAAAACAGTAATAACCGAATTGGTAAGTCCAAATGCATACAATATTAATTTTTGAAATCAATTGCTTGTTCTCTTCTGAAATCAGGAAATAATAAGATTTGACAGCTGGACTTGAACTCATCATATTGACCTTATATGGTCTTAGATAAGCCCATATCTTGGTATTCTAAATAATATTATATATAGGAGGATTGGCTCCCAGGGTTCCATCTCGATATTTTGCCATATAAGGAGTCATGTCGGGATTACAAAATTCGAAATAAAACAGTCACCATTTGTTCACTTCAGAAATTGAATCGCGAGTTTTGGACAGTTTAGTCAGATAATAACGACATTTTCAATGTCAATATCGGCTGCTCAGATATCGGTCAAGGTCACTGGAATATCGGCCATTGATCTCATTGCAATTCATTCGTGAGAAATTTGCGGTAGAAATCAGCACGGAACATATTGGCTGGAGATTAAACATATCGAGTTGGAATCCTTGGATTCATTCCTCCATGTATATATCATGTGTATCTAATATAATATATCTCATACATTCAAGGTGCTTTCCCACAATGCCATAGGTAAAGAAGGCTTTGAGGAACTGTGTGACGTATTAGAAGACAATTTAACTATACGGGTACTTGATATACGAGGTATCTAAACCAATGAAATTATTTCACTGATATACTATGTCTCTGTCAACAAAGTCCTGAGCGTTCCCACATTAGTCAAGATGCAACTTTTGACAATATTACCGTAATTCTATTTCTTTATATAAGCTTTATGTTAGTAACTTAGAAAACAAGAAGGTAGATGCAAATCTAATTCTGAGTCACTTCGTTGAGTAATTATCTTGGAGATCAAATACAATATTTTTTACAAGCTTGAAATTTAAAACTCTGAAGAGTAAACTAAAACTAAAATATCTATGTGCAGCATGGCATGTGATTTTAGACAGTCATATCTTTAACCATGAATACTTTCTGGGCATAAATACAGTGGTTTTCTTTAAAACAATATATTTTCTTTCAAGTGATGATAAAAAATATCAATCGAACAATTCGAAAAATTATGAAAAGAGACCCAATGTCAACATCTTTTTCAAAATGGTGAATCTATTTACTCAAAAGAGGATCTTCTTTTTCTGGTTTTTATTCCATGAAAAGATTATTCAACAATGGGTCCAAAACTTCTTCAAAAGTAGAATGGTATTGAAAGTCTAGTTTTGAAGATATCAATTTTTGATGACCAAAATTATGCTGAAAACAATGGATAGCATGAGTTTTCCCTATGCGAAAATAACATGGGATATGTGGTTTTTAACTAACGGATTTCAATACGCATCAGCTTTTCAGAAATTGTTAATATAGTGTAAAAGAAACGTTCGATGTTTAAATTGAGAGAGACAATGTCCTCTTTTTAGAAAATGAGCCTTACATTTTTTTAAAAAGTGCAAAGGCGGGGTCCTATAAACCATCATGGGGGAAAGATATGACTGTCTGAAATTACTTGCCATACTGCATATGGACCTTTACGATTTAACGATTTGCCTCAACATATCTTACCTTTGACATTCCAGGCAATCACCTAAAAGATGATTCTGCGCCGTTATTTGCCAAGGTCATCGAGGTAGGTAGTCCAGACTCTGTCATCTGAAAAATACATATACCAATATGTTTATCCCTGATTATTTGAAAATGTATTTTTTGCGTATTTTACTGTTATCACTACGCCTATGAAATGTGATAACTAGTCACACCATGCGTTTTAAATAGCGAGCAAGCGAGGTTTTGTACTGATTGCAAAATTACTATTCTTTTATTTATTCAGATTCTGGCTTTTCTCTCGTTTGAACTTTGGTTTAAGATGTAAGAACTTTAAATAGTAATTGTATTTTATTTTCTAGAATAATATCCACCTGAAAGATGTTAACCTTAGCCATAATGACTTCCGTGGAAGCGGCGCTGTAGCCCTAGGGTTGTCACTAAGTTAGTATTGAGAGACGAATAAATTGAGTGATTTCGCAACTCACTTATAGCATGTTTATTATCCCCGTCGTCTATATAAGAGTATCACACTTATGGACGTACAGCGCTGCACAATGAATGATGACGTTATCAAACTCTAAGCTATACGTTATGCGGGAATAATAAAAAGTGAGTTGCGAAATATCTCTATTGTCACGATGATGCACACTGTTATGTGGCAGAGGAAGAGGATTGCTTAGGTATTGACTTTTATTGTGTATTCGTGTTTAATCGGCAGCACGATCTTTTTTCATCCACCTAGAGCTTGCCATCTCTGATGACGACAACTCATTGCAGCAAAAATTGAAACTAAAATCTGGCCATTATGATAATATGGAAGAATATAAATTGTTTATATAAATGATCTTTGTCTTCCAGGAAACAATGATACCATCGAGTACATGGATCTCAGCTGGAATCACCTGAGAGGTAGAGGTGCAATATCAATTGGTATCGGACTCAAGGTAAATTTGCCACTATTTTTATATGGTATTCTGCAATTGCTAAAGCTTACCTTGACAATTTGTTTCCCAGCATATAAATACAGGCCTGTGAATATATGTAAGTATTAAAACATGTTTATTCACATCTACATATAATCGAAATGTAATTTCCATTTCATTGATAAAAAATATTCATCAAAAATAACGTATCATTACGTGCCTCGTACGGACAAGTACATGGATCGGAAATTCCGGGTTCTTGCGGGCATCGTTATGACAGACAATTACAGAGCTTTGAAATAACGAGCTGTTTTATGGGCCTTCTCGTACGGGCAAGTACATGGCTCGAAAATTACCAAAAATTACGGGCCTTGTTACGGGCCTCGTACGGGCAAGTACTGTATAGTCTGTATAGATGGGTCGGATATTATGGGTTCTAACGGGCTTTGTGAAACCAAGTCAGTATGAGGCTCGGAAATTACGAGCAATTGCGAGATTCGTTACAAGACCCGTTCAAGGTTGTACAGAGCCCGTTGAGGACCACGCACGGACGACCCCGATGTAATTTGCCATTTGCCAATCAAACAGAAAAACAGTTTTTCACGTATTATATTAATGTTTTGACCCCAAAACGTATTTGAGTTAAAATAAAAATTAATAATCCGAGTTTATCCTCCAAGTTTAATTATACTTAAAATCCATATGTTCAGGAGAACCTTGGGCTGAAGATACTCAAGTTGGGATGGAACGGATTTGCAAATGACGGTGCGGAAACCATAGGGAAGGCATTGGCTCGTAACAGTACCCTGTTGGAACTGGATCTAACAAACAACAGAATTGGGACAATTGGTCTTGGGCATATTGTAAAAGGTCTGCAGAAGAACTACACGCTAGTTGCTCTCAAGGTACGTTATTTACATAGTTTTTTGTTAATCATTTTATTTTCTAGAATGTTTCTATCAACGAGTTTGAAGACGACATACGAGTATATTATCAAGTACTGTTTTACCCATGTTAGCTTCATGTTATCGAGTTGGTCACTTTTTGGCTCAGCCTCAGGCCTGTAGCCAGGGGGGGGGGGGGGGGGGGGTCGATGGTTTCGAGCGACCCGCCCTGGAATTTTTCAAAAAGTGACACCTCCCCCCCCCCTTGGCAAATCCTGGCTACGGGCGTGAGCCTGTACATGTTTTGAAATGTAACCCATTTTTCACTCACCCTGTACATGTTTTGAACGCTCCCCATTGTTGTTACTGATTCCAGCTCGGTCATAACCCACTGAGAATGGTCGCCTGTGAAACAATTCTTCAAAGTATAATAAAACACTCCTCAATTGCACTGAAAGAACTTGATTTACGTGATATTCCTGTCAGCAAAGATTTTAACAAGCTCCTGAAGCAGGTCAGACAAACTAGGATATTTGTCACAGTTACTGGACAGGAACTGGTTGGAGACCTTATAGAAGGGGAAGATGACGGATTGGATTGGAATAAGGATCCTAGGACAGTATGTTTGGATTTTTGTAACAGCCTAATTAAAAACATGTTACATTTGACAAAAAATGCCCCATGTCGTATATGTACATGTATTATGAACACAACGTCACACCCCTCATAATCATGCTCATAATGGTTATGTTTGTTTCCAACTTTATGTAATCGCCAGTAATTAATGATAAAAAGTGTTTTAGATATCATATAATATGCCAAGGAATGACCCATATTCTAAAATTATATCAATTATACATTTTGCATATATAAAATACTTTTCAAATTTCTATTATTATCTAATTTTCTAGGTTCTGTTTGAGTATATGAAAAGGGAAGGATTCAGAGTTATCGATCTATTCAAAAAGTTAGATACGGATAACAGCAACTCGTTAACCAGGAACGAATTCAAGAATGGGTTACTGGTAAGTGCATTTGTGATATGCTGTCAAAAGATATACAGACAAAATTGCTGTGATGAAAAATCAACGATAATTTACAACTTATAAGTAAAGATTTTTGGATCGGTGAATGATAATGATAAATCATTTGTTTCTTTTATTCTTACTCAAAAGGGCAGAATACTAAAATGCCATGAATGGGTATAATAATATATTAATTTGTTGAATCATTCCTAACTTTATATCTTGTACAATTGTTAATGTGAGGTTAGTTTAAAGGCAAAATTATGCCTCCATTAAGTTAATACTAAGCATCCTTTATTATAGGACATCGAGGTGCCCCTGACAGAGTCTCAACTGGACAAGCTTCTAGATATAGTAGATGAGGACAAAAGCGGTGACGTTGAATTAAAGTAAGCCACAACAATCAATACATAATATTATCTCATCGCTTGCACCCATTTCAAGTTTGGAGGTACATGTATTCCTTAACATCCGGATGTGGTGATGCACAGAGTTAAATTAAGATTAACTGCACAAAGAAAGGAATTGGAGTCATTTCTATGTAGTTGCCTGTTGCGCCTTTTATACATTCACTGATATGTGTTTAGTCCACCATGTACAATGACATTATTATAGTACATGTAGATAGCAAAAGTAATTGCGTTTCAGATAATATAACATTCGCTTTTCTAGATTTTGCCATTTTTCTACTTTGCACTGTAATTTTTGACATCATTTGTAATTGTGATATCATTTGAAATTTATTTTGCGAAATATACTTTTTAAGTTGGCTTTTCTGCACTTAATTTTAAGAAATGCATATTATTTGATTTTTGATTTGTGATATATTACCAGGTCGACCAATAATTTCAGTCAAAATAATATTTTCGGTTGTTAATAATGTACACTAAATGTTGCTGATGTCAAATCTAGGGTGAAAGCAAAACCTCACAATCGTATAACGATCATATGCATGGACTTTCTCTCGAATGGTGTAACAACGACCTCAACAGTTATGCTTCCAATTGCACGTGATCATTTTAGCAAGTATTTTATTTATCGGGACTTATTGATCGACCTAGTAGTGTTTGATATTATTTGAATATTTGCACTTTATTTAGCAAAGGAACAGTTCGTCTATCGTAAGCATTAACTCTTTGTGTGAAGTGATTATAACCATCTTATTTGTCCTCTCTTCTCTTAAAAGGTACTCAAATGGATGTCAAGTCTCTCACCTTGTGCACCGCACGTTAAATGTGTATTTCATGCTCTATTGATAGATTACTGTCGTATTTTTCAAATTAACACCTGATGAATTTGGTAACTTTCGAGCTGATCGACGTATTTAACATGTTTTGATTTGCTCACATCAATCAAATTATGTGTTAAACATTATTTTTTAACCTAAATGTGCTAATCTGTATTTCTGTTGAACTTGTCTATATCTTTGATTGTGTCATTAAGACTAGACGAGTGCATTTCTCTAAACGGACCATTGTATAAAACTAGGGGTTCTTATGAAGAAGCTTGTAGTGCACGATGGGAAACTGCTTGTTGAGATGATATTTGGGTGATTGGATCGTTCACCATTATTTTGTTTATTATCAACGTCACTCCCCTCATAATCTTGCCCATAATGGTTGTGTTTGTTTCCACAACTTTATGTAATATTCAGTAATCAATGATAAAAAGTGTATTAGATATCATATAATACGCCAAGGAATGACTCATATTCTAAAATTACATCTCAATTATACATTTTGCAAATATAAAATAATTTTCAACTTTCTACTGTACTGTACTGTTTTAAAAGTATATTTACTTATGGTATATGTATATACGGTCTTTTCATGAGTCTACGTTTATCTCAACTATGTTACTTTTTCAGGGAGTTGATTAACGCCGAACGCCAGTTCAAACGAGAGCAATTGGCGCGGACAGTGGCAAAGGAACAACGGGAACGACTGGAACGAGCCAAACGGAAACAAACAATCAAAGATGGAAAGAGCAATCAGAATATGAACGACCTCAATTTGTCTAAATTACCACCGATAACGAACACCAAACCAAAATAGAGTGTTAACAGAATCCCGAATAAAATGTTGAAATGCTGTATATTGATTTTTTTTTAAAAATGATTACCAGTAATTTGTTTTTGTTGGTTTTATTTGGAACTCGTACACGATACCCCATCACAGACATATACCCTAATAGAGAGGAGATACTAAGGGCCAACAAAACATGTACAGTATAGACCAATTTACAGAAAGATAATTTCCCAAAAATTCTTGACCAACCAAATTCCAAACTTTGCTTACATGTATCTTTGTGTGTTTCCATCACTGACATTCATACATTTACAAATGCTCATTCATTAATGCATTTGTTTCTCAAAAATGGCAATGGGTACATGGGTAAACAGAATGTGTATTAACACATACACTGCTAAGATATTATAGCTATAATGCCTTGGTCACATTTGCACCGACTTTCACTACGGAGCCCGGCCGATTGAGTATTTTTTTCAAAATTGAATAGAATATTGAACAAAACATGTACACTCAATCTGCCGTTCGTCGATCGGCCGATGGATCGGAGCAAATGTGACCCAGGCATAACTTGAATTAGTTTTGAGATAAAGTTGACATGGTAACCTGTATTTAGGGCAGGCGGGTCAGTTAAATTAGAACGTATAAAATAGGTAAAGGTCCATGTGAAATATGGCAAGTGATTTTAGACGGTCATATCTTTGACCATGGGTACTTTCTGACCATCAATACAGTTGTATTTATTGAAACAATATGTTTTCTACCAAGCGAAGGACTTTATGGATTAGGACCCCACCTCTAAAGTTTCTTCTACACTATATTAACAATTTCCGAAAAGGGGATGCGTATTGAAATCCGTTAAAGTTAAAAACCACGTATCTCATGTTATTTTCCCATGGGGAAAACTAATGCTATCCATTGTTTTCAGCATTATTTTGGCCATCAAAATTTGATATCTTCAAAACTAGACTTTCAATACCATTCTGCTTTTGAAGAAGTTTTAGACCTTTTGTTGAATAATCTTTTCATGCAATACAACCCAGGAAAAGAAGATCCTCTTTTGAGGAAATAGGTTCAACATTTTTCAGCAGATCAAACACATCTTCAGGTCATTGCAAACTACTATATCTAGTATTCGTTGAACTATTCCATACCCTATGTTACCCCGGTTTGCTAATTTCCACATTGGTATAGTTCTCTCTTCATAAATTGCATCTCATATTATCTTGATATTCTTTTCTGTCGCAAGCTCTTCTTGCAATGCAACCAGATTATGGATGATCTTCAATAGTGAACATGCCTTCCTTAAATTTACAAAATTACCCACAGATTCTTGGAGCAGATATAACCCCTTGCCCATACACTCTATGAGTCCACATACAGGGTGTCCCGAAAGTATGCCCCCCCCCTAGGCAGACATATTTGTCATAGTATGTGTCATATATCATTTTAAAGTTACATTGATTCGCCAAGTATCATGGTTCAACTCTCAAATGTGAAAAAATCACAGGCATTTCAATTGAGTGTTTGGTCAAAATTAAGTTCAATTTTACACCAAATCACTAGTCAATGTGTCCTTCCGGGCCATCTTAACAGCAGCAATTCTTTTCGGGTCGGATGGATATTGAGTTGGAAAAAGAGAATGGTGAGGGTAGAAACTCTAAGGAAACTCTTTAAAGTCCCTTAACAGGTTTTAAGATGGTTATAAATTCCACACCCCTATTTGAAGGGCTTTTAAAGTCATATCTAAAAGTAATTGTTGCTGTTACCATGGCCAAGGGGGACATATTGACTAGTAATGTGGTGTAAAATTGAACTTTATTTTGACAAAACACTAAGTTTGAAAATGACTGTAATTTGTTCCCATTTGGGAGTTAAACCATAATACTTAGCAAATCAATGTAACTTTGGATAAGCTATGAAATGATATATGACACATACTATGAGGACACTGGAATATATCTGCCTAGGGGGGGGGGGGGGAGCATACTTTCGGGACACCCTGTATAGTACATAAAAACCAATGGTACTCCTAATGTATCAATCTAATCTCAATCTAATGTCACACTCTGCATCCACAGTCACACCAGCCTCATCTGACATTTTGACTTTTGGGGTGTCGTGACACAATGCCAATTGGCCCATTCTGTCATATAATGCTATTGTGAGCTGTTTTGATGTTATAGTGAGCACATATACGCATTTGTTTAGCAACAAACAATGAGCAACAATACCAAACCTTTTTGGTATCGGCATGGTTTAAAATAATCAAAATAACAAGTAATTGTGATATTTTGTGTGAAAAGATCACAAAATGAGAGCATTTTTATCAGAATATATGGATCACCCCTTGTATATATATAAAAAATGATTTTCTTCGTGGGTTTGGAAATTATTTCTACTTCATATGTCACACACGTTGCCATTGACATTTCTTCTATGATAATGATTATTTGTTTTCTGTAAGGATACTTATTTCCATCCTCAGCAGGGGGTTAATTATGCATCAAAACTCATGAAAAAGTAAATATACGTATCAAATATAACTAGGACAGTTATAAAGATCATCATTGACATACATTTAACTGAAGGACCAAAATGGCATATATCCAGAATCATCCTTTTGACATTACCCAAAATACATCCTCTCTCGATATACACATAATTTCTAAAAGGCCCAGGGACAAGATGGAAATTTTGACAAAAAGTGTTGGCCTGTTAAATTCTCAATCTTAAGTCAAAAAGACAATGCAAAGCATGCCAAAACGTCAGAAGGTCACCATCTACCTAATTTGTCAAAATCCCCATCCTGCATGGGGGGGGGGGGTGTCGCACACAAAGATTTGAATGGTGCATTAATCTTGATCTTTTTCCACCTTGCATCATTCACCAAACATTAAGAAACATACATGACATAACAGGAGATAGAATTCCATTGCACTTTATTTACATCAGAGACAAGCATCACTCCAACATCACTCCCAACATGCATATACATTATCACTATTTACACTATTTATGATGCGATTTGCAGTTGAGGTCCTCATGAAGATTTGTTCTCTATTTATTAGGCAGTATTTAAGTCTATTGATAATAATGAATAATAATGAAATACAGTTTTCAGAATTAATCTTTTACAGATGTTCCTGTTCAACTCCGCGCAATATACAAATAAGTAACTGATATTCTAATGACAACCATAAAAGGTCATTAAGCACATTTGAAAAGCTTCATTACAAAATCATAGACAAATGAATGATAGAGATACCTGTAGAAATACTTTTTGCTGGGCTACTCTAGGATCTGTTACTATTTGATTTATTATAGTCGATAACTCGATCTTAGAGATGTTTCGATAAAGGTTGTTTTGAAATTTGAGGTAAAACAGACATATAACAGATGATATAATGTATATATCATATAGGAACCTAGTATATTATTTAAAACCAAGATATTTGACTCATGTGACAATAAATACAGTTTAGAAGTTCCAAATGGTATATGCATTTGAACTACATTCATTGATTTTTACTAATAGTCCACGTTTTGTAACACCCTCTATATCGAGACGCGGGCAAGTCATGGTAAAGCACTGGGGAGGAACTGGAAACGAAGATAGTTTCCTTTTATCCTTGCAATATTTGGCATGTTTGTAGTTCCGGTTTCAAAATATGATTTCAACTTAAACATTGATACTGTTATTGCTAAGATATTTACAAATATTTACAAATTAGGAAACGAGGGAAAGTACTTTTCTAGTTTCTACGAGAAATGTTCCTCCACAATGGGGGTTTCGTCATTTAAAATTTGAAGTTACAATATAAATTCGCCTGAAAACTTATATTGAAACCTCTCTAGTATTAAGCAATTAAAGTATAACAACTATTAATAATAAAGAGCTTTTGATATAAGTTTCACTTTACTTAACTTTTGAGTGACATATATACCAGATATGAAGATGTAGTTTACAGTTCTGATAAATGTTCCAGTTCCAAATTCTCTACTTAGGTCATCTTCTTTGTTTTTGAAGTGGTGAATTGTCAACAACAAAATTGTGGTTAACTCTCCTCCTATAATGCCCTGCATATTAGGCGCATCATTCACCGTAATATACAAGTCCATTGTTCATGAAATCTGCAACATTTTGGCATTGTTTGGACCACCAGCCCTTCTGTGGCGTGATGTATTGCTCCACCCTATCCTGGCAGAGGAGTTTCTCACTCACAATGAATTGCACCCAGCTCTTCCAAAAGTACTGGCACTATTTCCACCAATGGCTGCACTGAAAGAATAAATACACGTTTCTATTTATTCAGAAAGAATGAATTCAGTAGAACTGTAGAAACTGCAAGTGGAACACACTTGAGACCACAAAAAGGTGGACTTTAAAAACAATGTTACACACGTGAGATGTTCCACTCAGCAGGTTCTACTGTTATCATAACAAAAATAGTATTTCATCTTAATAACTGGTCATAACTCATATAAAGTACTTATAAATTTTATATTTACTGCATATTTAGTAAATGCAGCACTTATTCAATGCAACACCTTACCTGTAATAATCCATCCTTCGAATGTCACCCAACCGAGGGTTTATTTGATCTTTTCCTCTCTTGAAAGATTAGGAATTGCTTGAACTTCTTCACTCCAACTGTCAAGCCAGTCGAAGAACTCCACAGTCAGCCACTAGAACAAAGTAAATAAGCCAGATATTACATATTTATTACTTGTACAGGGTGTCCCGAAAGTATGCCCCCCTCCTAGGCAGATATACACCAATGTTCCCATAGTATGTGTCATATATCATTTTAAAGCTTATCCAAAGTTACATTGATTTGCCAAGTATCATCGCTCCTCATCTCCAAGCTGAAAGGGAACCTGAAAACAGAGGAACTAACCTGTTGTAATAATTGAATAGAAAAAAGTACTTACTTTGGTGCTTTGGTGCTTTGGTGACAGGAACACGAACACCTCTCGCCCATGATACTGTTTACGTGGACCGGACCTGATGGCTCAAAGTTGTCGAAAGACTGATCCAGCTGTCGCCCTAAATTGGTGTGTTTGCTGCATCTCTCTCATAGTTGTACCTGAAAGATACAAGATAAGAAAATGAAAAATACAAGGATGCAACTTGGTCGAGTCACTTCCAATACAAGCGGAGAAGGGAATGCAAAGACATTCCTTTCATTGACTCTAGTAAATCTGTCATAGCCTTATACCCCTCCTGGCTCAAGATTTATATCATCAAGTCAACTAACTGCTTGGGCAGATGTAACTCTGTAGGAAGAATGGAATAGTTGAGCATATGTATATTCTTTAAGAA